AAAATTGAGTGGTCCTTTTTTTTTTATTAAAAAAAAGGAAAAAAAAAAAATTCTTATTTTTTTTTTTTTTTTTTTTTTTTTTTTTTTTTTCAAAAAATATCTTTATTGGAATTTTAGCACTTTAGACAAACAGCTTGAACATTCTGCAAAGTATGAAAGCAGCAATACTGTTCAGGTCAAAATAGAATACAAACAAAAAGAAAAACAAACAAAACAAAATGCCTCTCACGATCCTGGTTCTAATGCAGTCCATCACATATTTCACATATCATCTTTATATTGAGATATTAAGTTCAACAGTGTATGTCCTCTAATAGAATTGTCTTTGAGAACTGCAGTGACATGTTCTTCGGTCACTTGTACCGTCATCCGAGCTGTTCAGATCCTTGACATACATAATGAAGGGATTCCAGATGAACTCAAACAGATCCTGTTTGCCCTTTAATACATATGTAATATTTTCCAGAGGGAGGGCAGATGACATCAGCTGCAGCCATTGGTTTACAGTCAATCCATGAATCTTTTTCCAGAACAATGATATACATCTTTTCGCATTGAGCAAACTTAAGTTTATAAAGGTTCGTTCATTTTTAGTATAATTATGTTTTTCAGGGTACAGTCCAAACATAAACAGCTTTGGATCCAAAATTATTTGTTTGGAAATTATTTTCTCAATTACATCTTTTACCTCTTTCCAAAAGAGTACAACTTTCCTACAATACCACATACAGTGAACCAGAGTTCCTCTGTCTTCTGTACATTTTGAACTTGCATCAGGTATCTCCGTGTTATATCTATTGAGGTCCACTGGTGTTATGTAAACCCGCATTTACCATTTGAATTGGATCATTTTAAGAGCTATATTGATAGAGCTAGTGTGGGCCAATTTGCTTGCTGTTTGCCAATCTTCCTCAGATAACTCTAGCAGTAAATCTTTCTTCCAAGACTTAAGTCTGTCATGAGGTTCTTCAGATGTGACATCTTTGAGTGATAAAATTCTGATATACCTTTCTTCAAACTGTCCTTTGTTAACATTTTTTCTGAAGTTGACTTGGCAGGTTTTGTCAGCTCATTATTTTAACTCGTTCTTATGAAGTCTCTGAGTTGAAGATATTTAAAGCAGTGTTTTTTATCTAGGTGGAATTTATGTTGCAGATCCTGAAAGCACATTAGTATCTCTGAGTCTGGTACATAAAGATTCTGAATCATTTGGAGTCCTTTGTCTTTCCATGCTTTAAATGTTGAATCAGCTCTACCAGGTACAAAGAATTGGTTACCCCACACTAGACTGAACAGAGACAAACAATTTGGCTCATTTAAAAGTTTTTTACCTCTCCACATACTCATCATATTTTTAAGAAATTGATTTTTAGTATGTTTCAGAAGTTTTAATATTGAATTTGAATATAAATATGAAGGGAGAGTCAATTTTAAATCCTGAGTCTCCATGTCGGTCCAATGTGGAGAATGATTACTATAATAAAACATCATAGACCTCAACTGCACAGCATAGTAATACAAGTGAAAATGTGGGCACTTCAAGCCTCCATGGTCATAAGGGAGGTACAGTAAGGACAAACGGAGTCTATTCATGACTTGTTTGACTTTTTGGAGTCGTTGAAGACCTCTGCAGTTCCATGAAATAAAATAAAATTTTACGGTTTGAGGCATACATTAACAAAAGTAGTGGATTGCTTAATATTATAGAAATGTGAGACACAACAAAACCAGATGT